CTCTGCTCAATTAAAGGGCTGGTGATCCCTCCCTTCGGCTCAGCCCAGCTGCTGTGAAGCACGAACCCGAGGGGGCCCTCCCTGCTTCCAGGCCACGAGAGGCTCGAACCCCTGTGCTTGCATTTGACAAACTCATGCGACTTGTTGGCCGCAAGTCTTCCAGACCCAAGACTAACTTTGACCCTGGTGCAGAATGCAAGAGCCCGTTTTCGCTCTGCAGCTCATAGAAAAGCACGCCAGCCGCCTTCCTCCACGCCCCTCTGCCCCCTTTTCAGAGCGTGGTGCAGCATTGGCCACCAGCTAACCGTGCCAAGATGCTGAGAAAGCGCTTGTCTGCTCTCTTCCCTTCTCACCCACAAATTCTGTATGATATTTATCCTGAAAGCCACAGCCCTTTTTCCCCAGACAGCACTTCTGGGGCATCTCTGCTTGCTTTTAAAAATTATCACCTGTATAGTCGCTAGTATGCAGCTTTCCAGGGTTCTAAGCCCTTTGGAGAGTTTTTACGGTGCAATAAAGCATAAATGAGTGAACCTCACGCTACCGACTGGAAGCTAAGAGTTGGTGGCTTGCCCGGCGCCACCTCATGGGCTCGTAGACGAGGCACGACCCAAACCGGGAACGTCCCAGTTCGCAGCGTAGTCTTTTCCCAGGCCACCAGACAAGCTCTCCTCCTTCGGCAAGTTTCCTCCTGGTAACCCTCTTCACTCATACGCTAGGGCTCAGGAGGGAAGGAGGACATTGCCCTCCTCGGCAGAAACACCCTTCTTAAGTACAGGGTTTCTCTTGCTCCCTGTGCAGATCTCTGGGGTAACTACTCCCAGGATAAACTGCAGGAAGGAAAACAGACACAAACAGGGAGTAATTACAGCTGCCAGGTTGTGTGGAGGCTGTTTCCTCGCTGGCAGTGATTGCCGGCAGAGTGGGGAAAGAGGCTAACAACTGAAGCGGTGATGTGAATGCAAACGCATCCGCACATACAAAGTTGTGTTCCACCAAACAGGCCATTGGCCCGAAGGCAGAAGGCTCAGGGATAACTGCTCTCGTTCGGAACCAGCTTTTCCCAGCTTTCCCTTGTGAGCGAGCAAGACACAAAGCCCTCACCGTCTCGGCAAACAGTCGTGTCTTCGCTAGGATTTATTTTGAGGTCTGATGGACAGAAACAAATTTTTCTCAGTACCTCACAATTGGAATCCATTACACACAGGCCCTGAGCTAGCCAAGACACACTCCTTCGCGGTCAAGCTAAAATTAACCGTAACCATTTGTTCCTCTTCCGAGTCACTTATTACTAGCAGCGTGTTGGCAGCGACACGTTCTTGCGCACCCCCAAGTGCTAGCAATGCTCCATCAGAAGGGTGCTACCTGCTCGTGCGTGGCCCTTGGAGGGGCGGGGGGGGAGATCTGGCCAGCCCTGCCAGTGCCAGGAGGGGTCCCCTTAGGCCTGCCCCCACCAGCAATGCACACCCGGCTCGGGTAGTGTTACCACCGCCTTCTTGGCTCCCTGAAACTTGCTCTAATGGCCCCCTGTTGACCTGCCTTAATGGCCAGGCACAAAGCTTGCTTGGAGCCCCTGAAGTCATAAAAAGGCCACGAGAACGGAGTGCATGAGCCATGTCACACTATTTGCATGGAATTCATCCTACACACGAGCTCAACAAAGGCAGACTTGTGCAGCACACAGAGAAGAACCACTAAGCTGCCACTGCTCCAGGATAAACCAGCAAAACGAGGAAAAAGACAAAGACAACCCTATTATGCATTTATTCCTCCCACCAAGCTGTGCAGGATTTCACCAGGACTCTCTGGGTGCATTTATACTTGGGGCGCTCGTGCAGGCCTGGTGCATTCCCAGAAGCTGGAAGGGGTGCCATGCATCCGCCCCGCGTCCATTCAGGAAGGCTGGCAGGCACCCGTGAGGGCTGAGACAACCGATGGGGTGAGGCCCCCCCGCAAGCGCCCTCGGCAGAACCGCCCACAAGGCCGCCGGCCGGCCGGTACCAGAGTTGCATTGCAGCCTGTTCACGCAAGAGCAGGACTCGCTAGCACACAAAACCACCGTCACACTTCATCGCGACGGAGCCTGTTTCTTGCGGGAAGCTCCAATTTCTCTGTCTCTTCTGCCCAGGTCTGGCGATTGTCCCAGAAGCCAATGGAACAAGCAGAGACCAGGAGACCCGGGGCAGCCATCAATTTCGGCCCTGGCCTCACTGCATGCAAGAGCCCCCCCCGGCCACGAAGCACTCCGGGAAGGGGCAGTAGCAGAAAGAAAAGAGAAAGAGAGGAATTCGAGAGCTCGTACCTGGCTCATGTAGAGCCCACTGGAGTCCGCCACCGTTTCCCCAGCATCTGGAACATCAGCCCTGCAAGTTTGGGTTCCAAGCAGCGAGTGCGAATGGCTCCCACACAAAAGTGAGCACGCTCCATTCCTCAGCGGCTAGTGAATCTGGGAGGCAGAGTTATTCTTCCCAGAAGAGTGGGACACTTATTGAAAATATTTTTGTGCTAGCTCAGATACCTGAGCCTGCTTATATTATGCTTGCTTATTATTCTATGGCACTTTTTTGCCACACTGTAAAATAATTTTCAGTGTGTGCAACAAATAAATATCACCACAAATACAACTCTGCACAACAGGGGCAATGGGACTCCGTGAAACAGTCAAACAAAACCTCCCTTCCAGGAAACGTGGGCACTGTGCCCCCCTAGAGAGGGCAGCCATCCCTGGCCAGCTCATTCTTCAGCTGAAGCCAATTCCAGGAGGGCGCCCTGCCCTCCTTCCCTGTAAAGCCACAAGGACCAGCAGCAGCTTCATGGGGGAGCAGAGCAGCGTCACAAGAAGCCCCTCCCAAGAGAGTGCAAACCTCTGAAAACTGTCATCAGGTTTCAAGATTCATCTTTCAGGCCGGAGCAGATGCTTTTTCACTGCCATTTCAGCAAAGGGGCCCATGGGTTTGTCTGAAGGAGAAGAGGGTAAGCTGCTGGGGGGGGGTGCAGCCCCCAGGGCTCACTGGCCACCGCCAGCAGCCTTAACCTCGGTCAGACTCGCTTTATCTCCTTGCCTCGTTTAATTAGTCAGCCATAAACCAACACTTTTCCGCAGTCATGGATAAACAGAGGAGGGGAACACGCTCACCTCACCAGCACACGCCCTGCAGTTAAGGCCTTCCCACTGGCTGGAAGCATAACCACCACCTTAAAAAAGAGACACAGGAGAGAGAGGGCACGCACGGCAGACTGACAAAACTTGTTTCTTTGGGATCAGATATAAACTGGTTTGGCTGAACGGCTTTAAAAGCAAACTGGAGTACTGCCTATTTGCACGGGTAAATTGACCAAACTTAACACAGTGTACGAATATCTGCAGAGGTACAAAGGGAACCCCTGCCAGCTGTACAAGAGCCGGTTTTCAGAGAGAACGTAATGGTGCAGGAACATGCAGCCCCCGAAACCGACTGCACCACAAGAGCTTAGGAACGGCTTCTTACCCCGTCAGCGCATTGGTCTAACCGGGTTCCAATATTAACTCTGCCAACCGGGTGTCACTTTCTGCAGGTCAGAAAGGGGCCCCTTCTCAGTCTTACCTGGGACTGGGCCTGGGACCAGCAGGATGCAAAGCCTGCACACCACCTGGGCCACAGCCCTTCCCCAGTGGCCTTGCCGGCCGGCCATGGCCCGCCATAGCCCGCCATAGCCCTCTCACCCCCTCAGCTTTTCTCTCCACCCATCCTCCTGGCCACATTCTCACACCTCCACTACCTATGCAGCTTTCAGAAAGATCCCCCCCCCACAAAAAAAATATATCACCTGAAGAAACAGAGTTATTACTGCAGGAACATTTATGCCATTAAAAGACGCATCTGTAACTGTTTTCTAAGCTGCGGCAAACTATAATGTTCTGTAGATGTTTTAAACAAATTTAAAAGCAGCCTTCAGAAGTTGTGCCACATTCAATTAGTAAGTCTGTAAAGCTCTGACATAATACTTTAAATCTTTCTTTCTATTGCTGATGAACAGAACGATTCTTCGGAATGTCTCGTTATGATTTAGTCTTCAAGAAAGCAGGAACACAAGATGACGACCCAGGGTGAACCATGACTCCTGCATCCATCTCTCTCTTGACAAATACTACATCTGACACTTCCTTGTCCCCTCCCTCTTTCCTGTAATCCATGCCCCCTCCCACAACATCTCCTGCACCAAAACCTTCTCTTATTTGTTTCCCTTGTTCCTCTTTCTATAGTCTTTCCTAAAATCTTTTCAAAACCTCACACTCAGGTTTGCAACAGTGATCAATTTTTGAAAATCTGATTGATGGGTGTGCAGGTATCACACAAACACATTCTCAAGCCCTGCGACGTGAGCGCAGGCTGAGAAGTCTAGGGGTAGCTTACCAAGGTTCTACAGCGCTCTGGTATCCTCACCTATTCCCAAACCCACATGCTCCCTGCTCCCAAATTCTAGCAGGCCACGATCTGGGCAGTGCAGACATCCAGCGAAACAGTCGGACCAGGAAAGCTGTAATTACAAATTAGGAGTGGCCATCTACTGTTGCGCCCCTCCCATTTTGAAAAGTGAATGGGAAACTCTGCTTTTAATTATTAAGCTACTTAAAAGAGTTTAGGAAGTGTTTCATAAAGGCCCTCTTCTTCCAAAAAAAAAAAAAAAAAAGCTCTTTAAAAGATTTCTACACAAAATAAAAGCAGACTGAAATTAAATGCACACGGAAAGATCGATCCGCCCCACGCCCGCCCAGCAGCAAGCCTCTTCCCTCTTCCAGAGCACAGTAAGGGCCACCCAGAGTCTTTCCGAGGTCAGGAGGTGACAGATTTTCACGCAGCACCCGGCTGCACCAGAGTGCCCTGCTCAAACGGGGGGGGGGAGCCCTGCCTCCCCCCACCGGCTTCCCCCGCAAGAACAGAGAATCCACCCTTCCTGAAAGCGCCGTGCCCATGAAACTCCACAGGGGAGGGAACGCAACTGGTGAGCAGATTCAGTACCTCTCTCATTGCCGCCGTACTTCCTGCAAAGTCAGTCTCAGGGTGCTGGAGCAGAACCAGCCACAAGGCGGGGAAGGGGAAGGGAGGGAGGAACGGCCCGCCAGAGAGACTGGATTTGGAGAGACTGGATTTTCTTCTCTGCTCCGCTGTGCTGGCCGGCCGAGGGAGTCGGTTGCCTTGATCCGGCGGGGACGCACACTCCTTCCGTCACATTCCCTCTGCTACCACACAAGTTCCCTGACGTTGCGCGCCCAGCCAGCAGCACCACCCCTCCCGCCAGAGTCCCGAGCTGAGCTGAGCTGGGCGGCACAGGGCCAGCCCAGCGGCGAAGTGCGCAGGCACACGCGGGGCGGGGGGGGGGGGCGGAGACAGGCGCCCTGCTTGTCCAGTCCCACACTGTTTTGGAGCTGAGCGGGCCAATGCGCATTCAAGGGCAAGTACCTGGGATGGAAGCGCAGGCTATTTCCCCTTCCCTCAAGAGAAGGCGTCATAAAGCGCACGCCCCTTGACCTGGAAGCCTTCTCGCCCTCGGTGGCACGTCCTGGGTGCCACCGAGTCCCACCACTCAACACGGCCCGGTGCCCAGCCCTCGCGGGGGACCCGAGCCAGGCCCCTGTGAGGCTCGGCTCAGCTACAGTCCGTGGGGTGGGGGGTGCCCCGACCTGCAGATTCCGAATGCGGGAGGCAGGGAATGGGATTCTACGGAAGGCATCTGCAGACAGCGGCCCAGCAATGGTCGAATTACACATTACGTGGCCCCACCCCGCTTCTCTGTCTTCCTGTGGCCCTTGCCATGGGCCTGCCACACAGTCGCACTCAAAGGGGCAGACGACCCGGCTAGCCATGAAATCGCCCGTCTTTGTTCCTGTTTTCCCCATCGGAGGCCCAATCTTCGCAACCTCAGTTATACACATGCACAGTCATTGCCACGGAACCACCGTTTGGGTCCGAAGTCATCATCTGCAGAGAGAGACTGGTATGCCCTTCCTGGAGGTCCCCCCGGCCCCACAGCCCTGCCTGCCTGGACGTGGTGCCCTGCCAGTGGGCCGGGCCTGCCACTCCCAGCCCACGCAGCCACTGGCCACGTTTCCCTTCCCCACCCTGTGCATGTGCTCCATTGCGTGGGCTGCTTCAAACGGACAGCAATGCAGGTCCAGCAGAACTCGGACTTTGGAACCTTCTGGCAGCTCGCTCGCTCGCTCGCTGTCTCACTTGGCAGCGCTTCCAGCAATAGAAGCATCATGTCAGAGGCACAGAAAGGAGTGGCCTGAAGTTCTTCAACATCTCAGAAAACAAAGATCCTCATGTTCTTTTAGGAAAAGGAATCCATGTACAACGAAGACCGAAGAACACACCTGCAAGATCCTGGACATTTTTATCACGCAACGTGAAACCAAAAACGGGATTGCGAAAGAGAACAAGGGGGAGAAGGAAAAGTCGCTCAGCACCAGGTGGCAACGGGTTAGAACCACGTGGAGGAAGGTTGTCCCGAGCAAAGAGTCATATTCTGAATGCCACCTGGCCTGCGACCTCGGGACGAAGGGAGGCACCAGACCCGCGGCGCCATGCCTGCCTCTCCCCGGCGAGTGCGGCACGAGGACGCGTGCTGTGACCGGCTCGGGTGCCGCCGGGACTCCCTGCCCACAGCTTCCTCTCCCTGCCTGCTCTCCACCCTCCCCTGGAGAAGAGCAGACCCAGCTGATGCCCGATGCTGGTAAAATTCCAGCATGGAGAGAATCACACTGGACAAATGAGGGTTTGTGGTATGAACTATTTATGCAGCGTTATAAAAGGCAAAAACTCCACTAAGCTCCAGCTTACACCTTGAAATGTGCCAGGGTTAAACTGCAAGCATTTCCTCACACAGTGTTCCCCTTCCACGCACGCACACGTTAACACAACTTGAGACCCGACCCGCAAGATTTTTCCTATTGTTTCCACGGGCAACTCTTCCACCTATGGGTTGGCAGGCTGTGCACGGCTGTGCAGAAGACAAAGGGGTTAACAGAAAGACGAACTGAAGCCAGAGGAAACTGGAGCCTGGATAGCTCAGAAAATTTCAGCCTGCAGCCAATGAGGCAGCAGCGTTTAAAACACAAACAGCCAATTGCAGGCCGCACTGGGGGGGGAGTGAGTACAGGGGGGAGGACAAGGTAAGGGTGGATCCCAAAATAACAATATCCCAGATCAGGATCCTGCAATTTTCCAGAGGCACAAAGGGGAGCTTTACCGCTCAACGCTAGTGCTAAAAGTGCAGCTTGCCATTTATTAACGGCCAAACCCAGAACCTCACGCTTACAACGTGCAATTCAGGCGGCACACCCAGAAGTTGCTGGACAGCATTTCTTTGGATATCCAACCTGTTTTATCTTCCGATTCCCCGTAACGGGTTCAGGAAAAGGCAATTTAGAAACATCAAGCAAAAATATGTGTATCTACACACACACCTTTCTTAAAAAGCATTCCCTAAGGAATCGCTCTGGCTCATCTGCAAATCAACCGTGGCAGAAAGCGCTCAGGACTGACGAGGCAGCAACATCCTCGGCAGAATGTTGTGGGAAGCTGATGGTAGCTTGCAAGGATCAGGTCCGTGGCCCTGGGAAAAAATGCAAGTACTGCACTACTTCGCATTCATTTAGTGCTTCCAGAGGATCCAATATGGCACACCACTTGCTCAGCAATCCCTTCAACTCTCGCCATGCAAGTCAGCATTCCCACAGCGTGGACTGGGGACTACAAAGATGATCTATTGAGCTGAGGCGATTTCGACTCCAACTTTACAAGCCAAGGCACCAACCACAAACCTGGATGTGCATCAGGTGAGTTTATAACAGTGGCTTCTCAGAGGAACTCTGGACATTTGATTAATTCCATCTCTCACCCGAACCAGAGGTTGGCTGGCATAACTGTCCAGCTGCAAAAGCAAGAGTCGACATTCCCAAAAGATTCCAATTCCTGGATGTCTCCCACACCATCATACAGCAGGAAAATGCACCACCTCAAAAGTGTCAGGAAGAACCAGCCGCTCGGGGAAACAACCAATTAACAGTTAACAGGATGACATGGCTATATAAATGTGGGCAAGGAGTTCTACAGCTGATTGTAAGTGCCACAAAGAAAGCACAGGGGCAAAGAGCACTTAAGTGAGCCACGCTTCTTCATCACAGGTTTCCCTCATCCTGGTCTGACACGCTGCCCGAGACTTCATCATACCAGTTTGGCTGTCGCCAGAGGACTTCAATGCCTGGCGCACATCGGCGGGTGGGGAGGAAAAGCGAGCCAATTCCCAGGATGGACAAAAGATGGACAAAAATAGGACTCTGGAGAAAATGAATGACCTATTCCATCGCTGGTTTTGGGGTCCCCACAGGAAAGGAATCGTAGGGTCCAACAATATCACGTGAGGAGGAGAGTCTGCTAGTGAAGCAGGACTGCTTTCCCACTGTATTACTGAATCAGGGTTACATCTCTGACTGCGAATCCGTATGACAATGTTATTCACTCGGCCTGAGCACAATACACAGGTTCATGCGCTACAGTAAAATAGAAATCCAAAGCAAACACACATTGCGCAGGAAGCTCCCAAAATATCCCGATGGTGGTGGAATAAAGTCTTGCGGCCCTCAGGGAACACGGTCAGAGGTGACCTCTCCTTGCCTCGAAAGAAAGAGCGCTTCCAGAGAATGCTGCCATCGCGGCAAAAACCTTGCCCGTTGTTTCCATGGCTCTAACCTCTCGCCGTAAAGGGCAAGTCTAGAGGAGCTGCAGGCTGCCGCTCACAGCGGACGCGCTTCCTCTTCGCTCGTCCACTCGGCTCCGCACAGCCGAGGAGCAAAGCCGACACGATTCTAGGAGATGCAGAAACGTGATGACCACACCTTGCTTTCGCTGTGGGGCAAGCAGCACCTTCCCCAACTGCAGTGGCCAATTTGTGGGGCGCTCTTCTCAGCACCAAATGCGCCCCACTGGTGCCAGCGGAAGCCCTTTCTGTTTCCCAGGGTTGTATTTTTTAGTGCTCAAGGGCTCTTTCAGCTGCTACTTTTATGCTGCTGTTTTAGTTAGACTGGTTTTTTTTAACCCACAAATCACTTGATCTGCCTGACTGGCATAAGCCATCCTGGGAATTGTGGGATACACAATACCTAAATCCAGGCACACGAGTTTCCACCAGTGCTGCTCACCCAATCCAGTCCAGGCCGCACCCACAGGTGCTTTGCACATGCACAGAAACATGAGGAGATGCAGCCACAAAGAACATCTCACCAGCAGAGTCTGACCGGGCTCTTTTCTGATCCACTCGGCTCTGCCCCTCTGCACTGCACAGCCAACAAGGGGCGCATATGGAGGAGGCTAAAAGAATCAGCCACAAACAGGTACACTAGTTCTTCATTCTCCAGTCACACTCAGACCAGGCCCTGTCAGCCGAAACTTTCTGGAGAACTGAGAGGCAACCAGGTCTTCCAACACGCAGGCCTCCCAGTCGCCACTCAGTGACTCAACTTCCAGTCATCAGGGGGATGAAACTGGCCCATTTCTCAGTCCTCTTCAGGGCCAAGGTGACTCTCAGCACACCTACCAGGGCGGAGTCACTTCAATTCCTCACAGCATTTACTGGGAGGGTGAAACACAGAAGGGAAAAGTGCGTGGATTTCTCACAACTGCCTTTGCCTTCTTGCCTTATCAAGCAGCAACCACTTTGGGGAAACTGAGGAACATAAGGAAAATAGCCACCAACCGTGTCAACTCCCCTCCTAGAGGGAACTGTTCTCTGATATGTGAGAATCGCTGGAAAAGGTACAGGCGCCCCTGCCAACAGCACAGGGGACGAAGGACGAGCACCTTTAGCTTCACCCAAGCGCACGGCCTGCTGGTTCTGGTGTGCTCCACACATCACTGGAGAACAATCTTATCTCTTACATAGCTTGTTGTCTTTGCTCCTTCCAACATCTGTTTATGGCACAGGAGTTGCTTCCCTGACTTACAGAAAAATTCAAAGTGATGCACACAAAAATGGGTGACAGCAAAACCCTCTCCAACAGAACATGAGAAGTACGGCAACAGCCACAGACAGAACTAACAAGAAGTGGGTCGCTCTGTGGGTGCCAGTCAGGTTGGGCTTATGTGCGACAGAAAAACAACAATTTTCGCCATTGCTTCCAGACAGCCCATGAAACAACACAAGGAAAAGACCTCAGGCCCAAAGCATTTCCACAGTCAAAAAGCCAGGCTTTTTATTTCAAACGAGCTTCATTAAAGGACACACCAAGGTCAGCCTCCAGGACAGG